GTTTCTAGCTAAGTTATGTTTGTAAAAGGTTGGTCTCGCGTTAGTTTCTAGAGCTAAAAGTTTTCAACAAGGTCGTTTTAGACCTCAGTTTCAAACTAATTAACTCTGGCGGGAAGTATGTAAGGATCTTAAGTTTTACTAACGTTTATTTTATTTTAAATCTTTACTATCACTTCTTATTTTCTACTTCCGGCCAGAATTATAAGCGTGAAGGAGTTTATGCAAAGTTGTCTGGCGAACGCCAAGTATTTAAGTGTGGCCTTTTTGCCAAGCAGAAGAGAGGAAGCCGTGAGTTCGAAGCAGGCCGCTTACCTTAGAAGTTACGCAGTTGCTACTTTGCCTTCCAGGCCAGAGGTTTTAATCCTCTTGATAAATTAAACGTATTGTAGTGTTCACAGTCTCTGTGCTACATACGCTTCTGTTATTATAAGGCCAATCTTATTCTAAAGTTAAATTAGAGTTTAGTTTTATTTTGATTATCTTTAAGTTAGACCCCGAGTGGAGGGTCATTGTATTCCGAAGTACGGAAGTCATTGTATATAAAGAAAAAAATAAAGGGTTTTGTATACCCTTCGTCTGTATCCTGTCTACTTACTACAATTAGTGAACATAGCTTTAGTAAGCTCTCTGTTCTAGTCAGGTCATTGTATGTTTCCGAAGAAGGTTAGAAGAAACATTGAACCTGATAACTTCGCAAAATGTCTCAAAATAGGAGTGGTGGGTCAGGTACAACGAGATGCCTTATGCGATGATTAATGCACTCTGATGTCCGTGTCCTTGATCCAGATGCAATACGCGCTGCACATTTTCTTCCTGAATCCACTGCCGCCAAATCTTATCAACAATTAGATTCCATGCAGCGAGCAATTATCAGTATGGAAGCCTAACATGAAGTTCCTCATCAACTCATCTGTTTGCTAATAGTGAATACGAGGATGCCTTAAAACACTTTTTTTTCACCTTTCATCAGATTCAAAACAGCAAAAACATCTTGTGCATTACAACTGTGACGACGCAGAAACTGGCTTCATGCTTTGTTTGGATTCCTATTTCCCGCATGCTGATAGACTGTTTAATTTGTAAATGCAATCATCTGCATAAATTTTGCAAGTGGAACAGACAGAAATTTGCATGCAAGTGCGCTCACTTCTTCATGATATGCCAGATAGTGTACTAAGTGTGACCAGTAACAAGGTTACACTTTCGAAAGGCAGAAAGGAAACACACTTGCTGGAATGTTTGTGTTGTGTAACAAAGGATGTGAAACACTAATTCTCGATGAAATTTTTGTGAAGATTCAAATACTTTTCAGGTCTCATTACACGTTTTTCACCTAAACAAAACATACCGTGCCAGCCAATGTAGCCAACTTATTGGACTATATCATCATAAGTTTCCTACATAGCATATAACAGCTTAATGTTCTCATTACTCTAGTATCGGATAGATGTTGGGCAGTAAAATGATTAAAATAATCCAGAATTAAACACAGGCTATACGCCTATATTAGAAACTGTTTGCTCTGCCTACCTCATGGTTTTATGGTTATTTTCAAGATTGTAGAGCTATTAATTTTTCAACGCTGGAATGTGAAAACCAAGCTATGGCGTCGCCAGGATTCAAAATCCGGATTTTTTGTCAGCCGGATATGTAACCAGTTACACTAAGACAGAACGCACGGGGAACGACGGTAATTCCCGACATTCTCTCCACTTGAAGGGCAACATAGAAGATGAGAAGGAGACCAGGTTGACTGTAATTAAGTGGTGATGAATTATCATCCGCCACATTTTAGTTGGAGGCCGCTGTTGAGATATTACACTTTTAGAAGCCAGAAACATGAAAACTCAGATATACCCTTGCCAGAATTCGAACTTAGGATCTTCCATTGCTAGCCAGATGTGTAACAGCCAGTTACAACATATGATCTCGTAGGGGATGGAGGCGATGGTTTCATTTCCTACGAGATCATATGGTGTTCCATCCCTTACGAGATCATATAGTGACAGTACAACACTGATGGCCTACCCGTGGTCTAAGATATCTACTGTAATCATTCTTGACGTAGCCTAGAAAAGAGATGCTATGAATTCATAAGGAAGCGAGCTTCGAACTTACTTGTAGGGGAGGTGAATCAGAGTGTTTCCTTCACATGGAGGCTCTTACGTTAAAGAAATGGAAGTGCATTATGGACGTAGTCATAATACTCTTGAGGAAAAATAAACGTCCTGCGTTAAATGTAACGCAGCAGAAACTCAAACCGGCAACTTCGTAAGCAACACATAATTCACAGGCAATGTCTAGCACAAAAATCGGAATAATACTAGACATCAAACATAAGAAGCAAATCAGTATTTCACAACTTACTTTTAGCTTCGACGCAATATTGCGCAAAGATATCCTTTGGCTTTTTAAAATCATTTCATCCATACCAACAGTGATGATCGTTGTCGTCGGCGAATTTAGACATTTCTTGTTTGCACAACATCCATTTCCTAGCATTAGCATTGCAGGATCGCATCACTTATCTAAGTGTTGCACTGAACTCTCACTAAGATTTTGGGCTGCCGACATATCGGTGATCCATAAAAGCCTTATAACGTCTCTTACTCAAAAATACATTTCCTAAACATGTCATCATTCCAAAATATTACTAAGCGTCGTTCGCAGGCTGTAAGGTAATCAATCATCTTTCTTCAAATGAATCCGCGATTCACACTAGTCGTATGAGATCGTGTATTTAACTATATACCATGTGTATTTTTCATTTTCTCTGATTAATGTACGTAAAATGCAGAAGTAAGCAAAAGAAGACATTTCAGTGATAATTTAGATTGACAAAGAATTATTAGGCAATCGACATATTCGAAGAATTTCTTTTAAATAAACGCAACGGAATAACATAGCAGCACCACCTAACAGCGATATGCAAAAATAATAAAATAAACGTAAAAAATTTAACGTAGCAATTTTTTTTAACTGGAAAGAACATAATTCATGATGAGTAATTCGCTAGGAGTGAAGGATACGAAAATCTTTTTCTGATAACGTAATTAACATGTTTCTGAAATCTGCATCCATTTAATGATCATGTATCACAATGATCCGTTTTGTTTCAAAGCATTGATCTGTGATTGAACATGATAAAAGAATAGAACAGATATATTAAAATTTTAGTTTGAAACTTATATGAGAAGTATATAGGAAAACGTCAAATGAATTTAAACGTATTTAAACAAACTAAATAAATTATTAGCCCAAGGGCGTTAGCCCAGAAGGGCTATAATTTTGTTTTGGCATTTTGGGTCGATTCACTATAAACGGCGAATCACTTTTCAAATTGTTGCCCCAAATATTATCGCTCTGTGTTATATTTCAAGAAATTAAATAATGAAGGATCTGCATAAATGTACGTATGTTTCTCCCATTGTGATAAAATAACGGTACCTAGAGCTTTCAATTTTGAATAACGTAATCCTCCACCGAATATGGGCATCTGGAAATCCTAAATTTTAATTTATTTTACTATCGATTTCATATTTTGTAACACTTTAACGAATTTTTGATTAGAAACTTAACGATTTCAAAGCGAGCAAATGCAACAAACACTGTACGGGGGGGGGGAGGGATTTTCTCCAGCGCGGGAGTCTGCGTATCAGAAATTCTAAAGATATGCTCATTTTAAAATTATTTTGCGATATTGCTGTTGAATTGAATTTTATGGTTTAAGTGCAAAGAACATGATATTTAAAAAATAAAGATATGATATTTAAAACACAAAACGTTAAAAAACGTCTCTTGGCGTAATGTAAAATCTGAAAGCTTTCAGAAGCTTTTTTAAATTAAAAGTTTCTTTATGTAACTGACCAAAAATAATTTATTGGTTAATAAATATCAGAAATTTTTATAGGTTTCAGATAAATTATAATTAACGACCAAAAAAACTTAATAAGCTGTCTGATGAAATAAGTTCTCCGATGCAAACCTAAGGATGGGGAGAGGAGATTCGGGAATCTGAATTCCGTGAAATAATTATGGTATCCCTGTAACAAATAAATGGGTATGGTTTGAAATCTAAACGAGCAGAAAACAGAATTGAAGTGATTGTGGAATATGGAGTGCCTCATTGTTTCCAGAAGTGGCTTGTTGAAGCGGCTGAGCTAGCTAAGTACAGGATAGAAATCAGTTCAGAAATTTACCCAAAAAGTATACAAGAATACATAAATTTAGCTGAGAAATTGACTGTCAATTTATAAATCAGATTTTCTACTGAGACACGCCATAAATCCCAGTGGGAAGTTCAAAAATCCTAAGTTCTATGTTAAGAAATTTATAAAGATTTGTTTAAAAGGCACAAACAAACGAAAAGATCTTACAGAAAATGCATGTAATTCTAGTAAGCATACCGTAAATCTATTATATACTCGAAAGATCTTTTTTTTTTCAACTGAATACTAATTATTGAATTAATTTACGTTGGATTATATACCCATTTTGTGATATAATAACTGAGGTGAATGATCAAATACTATTGCGTTTTTTAGATTTTCATGTACGTGAGATTCTAAGGTGATTAAAAATTTACAACTTAAATGCTTTTCTTACGATTCTTATGCAAGTGCACGGAATAAGAAATTTAAGCAAGCTAGTAGAATAACACTCAAAATAAAAATGGAAAAGAAAGTTTCAAACATGAAAATATTTTGGAAAATCTTCTCGTTTAGCCTTATCTAGCGATGATGAAGAAAAACATTAGGATGTATCATTTATCATTAAGGGTATAACTTAGATCAATTATTTAACTTTTGATAAAGACAGATTTCTGATAGTTACAAAGATGAAGGTAATTTTGTTAATTTTCGGATTGTAATTCTGTTTTACGTACTTGTTCTTTACCTGGTGTAATAGGAATTATCAAAACATTATTCGACTTTAAGAAACGTGTTACCCGCAGATTACTTACACAGGGAAAAAAAAAAAAAAAAAAAAAAAAAAACTCATTCACTTTCAAATATAAATAATTTAATGACTGTACAAAAAAATGGTGCATAGAGTAAATACAAAAATAATAATTATTTTTGGCATAAACTATTTTTTATGTACTAAGCAAAAATTACATTGAAATGTCTGATCACGAAGATGAAGGCATTATTTTTAAAAATCCGTAACTCTTCCTTTTCTTTCCCAGTCACCATAACGAGTAGGTTCAGGACCTCTAGGTCCCCCGACTTCCCCAGTTACGGGATTCCGATTATCAGGAAAAGGAGCATAAGGATCAGGTTTTTCTTTATCGGCTGTTTCTTCAGCTTGCGTTTGATCCAGTTTGCCCAATGGGGTCTTTCCCCTCTTTTTTTCCTTGGAGTCCGCAAAAGTCCGAGAAAAGCTGACTAGAGCATTACGCCTGCTACCTGCAATAAAATACAGATTATAGATTAAAAAAAAAAAAAAAAAAAAAAAAAAAAAAAGACTGATATCGGAAAAGTATAAACTTCGTGTATTAAGACTTTTTCTATGCAATGTTACCCTTTATTAACTTACATATAACTAACTGGCTTTTCGAATGATAAAGAAGAAATTTAGAACGACAATATTGCCTTCACACGATAAATGCGATTCTAAATACAAAAAAAGATATGTGATTCGAAATGATATATTTACTGTATAGAGAAGCCGGATACGGTGTATGGGGCGAGATAATTTTAATACATTTATCTCTCTCTTTGTCCTCGTCCGTGTGTTTGGTCTTATGGTCGCTCTATTCGTGATCAAAAGTAGCTGATTTTCATGAGATTTAATAATATATTTTTAACCTATCAATTTATTCCAATCTCTTTCTGAAAACTATGTAAAATAAATACATAAAATACCTGGTCATAGGAACCACACTGATCTGTGTTAAATCAACTGCATCCGGGAAGTGGAAACAAACAGAAGTCAGCTTATGCATATTACTCAATGAAAGAGATATGAAAGATGAGAAAAAGGTTTACTCTAAAATTCTGCATTGTCAATCCTTATCCCTCAGCCATGCCTTTTCCTAAACGTATATACCTATGATGGAGCGTCCTTTCTTTGAAAATTGAGATCGAAAGTAAAGACTTAGCGGATTTTCACCTTAATATACCACTTCTATGACTTCCTCCCAAACAGGTGATTTTATAAAAATTTGCTTTTGTAATTTCGCCTACAGATGCTTTCATAAAAGTAAATGTGTGTGTATGTGACTATGGCAAAGCCTCGAGCGCTATCTGCCTAAGGGGAAGGGATGAATTCGTGGAGGACTTTCTGAGGGAAACTGACTCGTATACACATTAGACATGGGGAAAACCACGAAAACGCACATGCACCCAGCCCGTTCGTGGGATTCGAACCTCGGACCGAACTACCAGTGTTCAGCGACTTTACCGCTGGGCAGCTGTTGGGCTCCATAAAAGTGAATGAATTTGATTCGTGTGCGAATGCTAAAAACACGCTGAATGCGCCTATAACTCATTGAAAGTTTTGATGACAAATCTTCTCTGCAGTTTTATATTGTAATACGAAATTTTCATACTGCGATTCTTTTTCCGAGAGGGTTATTTTACTGACCAAAAGCAAATGAAAAGAATATTCTTCTACATGAGGCGTATCATCTAAGCGAGGAAAAAATATCATAAAAACATAAATAAGTTTTTAGCAAATAACCATATGATTATAATTAAAACTATTTAGTTAAATGCATTCAAAAGTAGGAAAAAAATTACCTATCATATTATTCAAGGTCATATAGCTAAGATAAAATTATTAAACTTAAAAACATGAAGCAATAGTTAAGAGAAGGCCATACTATTTTTGAAAAAATATTTTAAAAGTATTAAAAGTGAACTTATCAGTCATATTAATTTTAAAATACATTTTAAATTTATTCATATTTTCATGTCAGAGACCGACTTTTCAAGGGTAATAATCTAAAAGATTAAAACCTGAGTTATCCAAGAGAAATGAATCACGTCTCGTTCCGCATTACCTTATGAGCAATTTAAGAAAATCTGATGTATACACTACATGACTTCCTTGTACGGCATATTAAATTATACGCATTTTTTCTTGCATTTCATTTAAGCTTACTGGATTGAATTAAATCTACTTTTCCGATAGCGCATAAACCATAGAATAAACGCACTCTTTAAAATTCACTAATTTATTTACCATACGACACTCTGGGCTAGGTCTTAAGCGTTTATATTTCGTTCATATTATAAACTCAAAATGCCCAAAATTTATATATTGTAGAATTATCTAATCTTTGTCACATGTTCATTCAAATACTGTAAAATCTAGAGGATGATAAAAGAAATTAAGCAAACAAAAAAGTTTCACAGACGATTTAGTATTTCTCATTTAATTAATTCAGTTCTCACTTCGCGACAAGGCAAAAATACGTAAAAACTCAAAATCTATATTAAAAAATTACGAAGTAAATCCCTAAACACTTACTTCCTCAAAAATTCCAGAAAGGATTAAGCATGATTATGGCAATAATAAATGAAGGCGTTATCTTTGTTGTTGCGAAGCTTAGTCTCTCTATATTGGCAACAAATCTAATTCTTCTGTTTCAAATGTAAATAAATGTGGCTGCTATGGTAAGATAAATTACGCTTAGCGGCGCTTAAACAAACTATTAAAGTGTTGATAATTCTAGAACTACTGCATGCTGATTAATTAAAGGCATAAAAACCTTACCCGGAAGATAAGAACAACATAATTCAATCATTTTAAAACAAAAAAATGCAAATTACAAAGTGTAAGATTAAAGAAGTGAGATCACCGAGCCGGGTAACAGAGTACAGTAAGACCCGCTTAACGCGGGGGATACGTTCCATCAAAGTAGAGCGTAATAATGCGAAACAGCGCTAAACGAGGCTATCTTAATAAATATTGGGGTTAGGGGAAGATGGCCAGGAAATTGGTTAGGTATTAATTTAAAAGTATGTTTTTTTAATAAAAATAAAAACAAACATTTATTTCTTAAAGCCCAAATTAATACCACATTATATTCTTGCAAAATAAAAACAAAATAAATAACAAAACGAATATTCTTAAAAAAAAAAACAAATAAAATTCTAAGTCAGTCATATTTAGTTAGTCTTCCGCGTTTTCAGTGTTCTGCCTTTTTGTGACAAAAGCATCTAATGTTTAAATCTATTAAACCATCCTCGACTAGCAACGAAGTTTCACTTTTGTCAATTTGATTGTCTCAGCCTGAATGTAATTAAAAATTCTTCTAGCTTTTTCCATTATGATAGATTGGCTTAATGGCATATTGCGGTCAATTTCGTCGTCCATTCCATATAGACATCGTTTTTCCATTTCCTCTCTATGATATTATTTCTAGACGGGTAATCTAGTGCAGAGCTTGACGTAGTTGCAGTTGCCGATGACAGTATTTTTTCTTTATTCTTCATGATGGTCCTTATTGTTGAGTTGGCAAATTCAATGAAGCACTAATTAGAGTTTGACGTTCACCAGAATCTAATCTTCTAATCACTTCCATTTTAGTTTTGAGTGAAATGCTTTTTCTGGTTGCTTTCTTTTTTTTTCATTATCACCATAGTAAAAAACTAAGATCAAAATATTTGACATGTAATATAGTATAAATATGTAAATTAATACCTACTTACAATAATATCAACAAATTTCCAATAATAAAAAATGTCTGTAAATACCGCACCAAACAAGAAATACAAGTACACTCTTTCGGTATGTATTTGAAACCTATCGCTGCATAATATTCGGGGAATCCCCGTATGCTGCGAGCGGTTTCGTGGAATCCCCGGGTGAAATTAAAAGAGCGCTAAACCGAAACAGCGCTAAACGAAACAGCGTTAAGCGGGGTCTTACTATATATATATATATACGTTTGGTGTGGACGATTGCAACCAAAATACGAGGTGCACATCTACATGTTATGCAGTATCCTATGTATAAATTTCAACATTTGAGGCTACTCGTTTTCGAGTTATGCGAGATACGTACGTACAGACGCCACGAAAAATTCTCTTTAGAATTCCTTTTAAAGCAGTTTTATAATTTTTTTGGAGGAAAAGTGTCTTTTATTCTGTCCCTACGTACAGATGTCAAGCAAATACGTCGTTAAATTGCATTCGATAGCGGTCAAAATGGATATTTTCGTTGAAATATGCTGCCTGAAACTTTTCGCGATTACAATACTTCCTTTTTACTTCGTACAAGGAAGTAATAAAAAATAATAAACAATAAAATGGAAAATGAAAACATTGTTTACAATACTTTACGCCTCAAGCTCAAAACGCTTATAATTACCCCGACGTGAAACAGCTAAAATACATAATTTAAAAAAAAATGAAAATTACCATTAATAATATAAAATGCTATACCAAAGAAAATCTAGCTTAACGACACGTCAAATTACATTGAAAATACAGTAGTCAAATTAACCGAAGAATTTAAACTCACTAAATTTTTATATGTAACAAATTTGCTAAGTCTAATAGCATATAGAGCCCTACTGAAGAAATATATTAAACACCTTTAAATTATTTCCAACTACTAAAGAGGGGAAAAGAACGTGAAACTTCCCTGTAGTTTAAGAATAAAGAATCAGTAACTTTGTAACATGAAATCAGAGTTTAAATTTGGTAGTTAATGCCTGATTTTTTTAGAGAGTTGAATATAATATCTTGGAACTTTATTATTTAATGAAGAATTAATTAAAAAATTGTTCTCTTCTCGAAGACAATTAACTTCAGTATACTGCTTTTTTTTTTAATTCTACGTATTTGATCTATGTATTCTATACATATGTTACGGTGAAACACCGAAATCTGGAGAATGTCGACTTTCACCGGTGAATGTCAACATTCACAGTTTCTTGGTGTATGTCCGAAATATTTTCCAAATACTCTTATTTCTGACTTATACCGGTCAATGTCGACATTCACCATGTCCTAATGGTGAATGTTGAACATATAACAAATTATATTTTCTTCTCCGTAATTCAGTCGCGAATAAACGCACTTGAGACTGTGAATAAGAACTTAAGAACATGAGAACCTAAAACACATACATTCAAAATGAGAAAGGAAAATAATAGAAGTTAAAAACTTACCTAATTATACAGTACGTTTCTAAATGAGAAAATAAAATAACAGTAATAAAAAAACTTACAAATTATTGATTCAAATCTTATTTATTGCAACAACTTAAACTCTTATGGCACTTTATGACCTCTCTTTTCGACTTACACCAAAGCATATCTGTGATTGTCGACATACATCGGTGAGGGTCTGAATATACAAGAATGTAGTGCAATATTCGACCTTTCACCAACGTATTTGGTGAATGTTAACATTCTCCGGTGAAAGTCGACAATCTCCAATTTCGGTCTTTC